CTAGTACCTATGGCACCAGGGCTCATAGGAGCCAGGGCGCAAGTGCTACAGGTCGGGATGTCAAGGGCGTCTGGGTCACCCTCAGGGACTAGTTGCATGGAGCAGAGATTTGGAGCGGCCTCAGATAGGAAAGCGAGCTTGTACTACCAGTCCTCCAGAACCTCACTGCCAAAGGCAGGAGCACCCTCGACGGACGAAGGATGGGCAAGGTTAGAGACCAGTGATGTGGCGTACTCAAGGCGGCGGGTAGAGGCAAAGTCAGTGACGGCAGCGACAAGAGCGTCAAGACTCGAGACAGGAACAAACGGGTCGGTAACGAGGGAGGCAAGGACACGAGCAACAAGAGGACCAGCGGTACGAAAGAACCAGACAAAGAGGCGGAGCGACAACAAGCGACGACGGAGGAGGCGACGAGAGGAGGGGAGGACGAGATGCGTGGGAACGGAGCAACATTGGGTGAGAGCGCTGAACTGGAGAGACAGGACGAGCACGAGAGGGACGGCAAGACCAGAAGAGGGATGGAGGCGTCGGGTCAGGAGACACAGGAGAAGACACAGGAGGAGAACGAGGGGGGAAACGAGCTGGGGACGAGTCCAGCGGAGGAAACACAGGGCCGAAGACAAGCAGGGGAGGCGGCGGCAGGGGAGGCTCATGCGGGTGATCAGGGGAAGGAAGACCGAGGAAGCGAAGGGCAGAAACCGGTGGTGACTACTGCTGCGGGTGCTACTACGCGCCGACACCAGAACCTCTAGCTGCACCACGGCTACCTCCTGGACACTCCACGCCAACACCCCAAGAGCGAGAACCCTCTCCAACACCGGCGCCACCCCTAGGACCGCCTGGACGAGCCACGACAATAACCCCAGGAGTAGCACCCCGAGAAATAGCACCCCAGAACGAGAACCCTTTCTAGCACCGGTGCCAACCCCAAGACCACCGGGACAAGCCACGATAGAAACCAAAGGACGAGCACCCTCCTTAACGCCCGCACCCCTAGAGCTCGTGGAGCCCTACGGCGTCTGCTACTGCGGCGGCGACGGCGACGGCTGCTGCGACGGTGGAGGAGGAGACACCGGGGCGGAGACAGGCAGCAAGAACGGTGCCGCGGGGCCACCAGAGTCAACTGACTTCACGACCGGGACAACCGATGGGAGGGGAGTGACGTGAGACACACCAGGCGGGGCAGGACGAGGAGGGAGAGGAGAAGGGGCTATCAGGGGAATGGGAACCAGAAACAAGGATGGGGAAACCAGGAGACCTCAGTGGGCAAAGCGGTGGTAGAAGCAGACGGACTCGTCAAAAGTGACGTCACGCGAGTGAAAGAAGTGGTGAGATGGCGGATGGTAAAAGTGCCACTCAGACGCGTCGAGAGGGAAGCAAAGAAAGACACAGGGGACAGTGCGGGCAGTGAGCTTGTCCGTGCCAGTGGCACGAACGTTAGCAAGGCAGTCCCAGACGTGGAACGCAGACTTGTCACCAGGGAACCCGGTCCAGAGGAGGGTCGGCGAAACATGCGGCTGCTGGGAGTGTGGCCACAGGTTACGCTGATGAGCGGTGTAGCAAACAGCAAACGGCCACAAGAAATGGGGTGCACCAGCATGGATCATGGGGGTACGAGCCACCTCCATGACCAAACCGATGTCTCGCTTAGCGACCCCATTCTGCTGCGAGGAGTCCAGCAGGGTGTACGACTGGGTGATGACCTCCGCACGATAGAACTGGCCAAGCCGACCGGAGGCGAACTCGGAAAGGAGACGCAGCACGGGGAAGCTGTGGTGGACTCGCGTAGCTACGACCCTCGAGATGGCGAGCAAGGCGGCACAGGCGAGGGAGGGAGGGTAGGGAGTGATGCAGGGAGACCACGGAGAAGCCCGTGATGGGCCATGTGACGCAGACGCGGGAGAGCGGGGTGACCTAGGCAGTGGTGCCACAGCAGTTAAGGGTGGGTGAGCGACCGACACGAGCAAGCTGCAGCTACCTGAGAGGACGCGACGACCTGGGGGGGCGCTCCCACTGGGGGGTACGCAGTGTCTTGCATGAACAGGCCAGACACGGGGTCCCGGGGGAACGTGGTAAGAGGGGCACCACTGGCAGCCTCGATACAGACAGCGTACCGCTTGTGCCCAGGGAAAGTAGTGGTGATGCCAAGGTCCTCAAGACAGCCGACACCAACTAGGTTCCTGGAGTACAAGGGGATGTGCAAGCCTGTAAGAGAGCCCAAGGGGACCGCGGGATAGGGAAGGATAGTGGAGCTACGTGCGACTATCAGACCTGAGGAGGGGTCAGCAAGCGCTACAGCGGCAGGGGCAGCAAGTGGCGTGAGCGAAGTGTGGTCGCGGAAGAAGCAGGGAGACGCTCGAGAGTCGATCGTGAAAGAGAGCGAAGCAGTAGCGTCCGCCATAGCGGCGGCTGACGGAGGGGCTAGCGTAGAGCCTAAGCTAAACCAGGCAGAAGGTCCTACGCCTGACACAGCAGGGGAACCTAGACTACACACGAGAGGCACACCTACACTAGACAACACAGGGTAATAAGATCCGGTCACAGTGGAGTTATCAACATACATGACATACATAGCAGTCCTAATCTGATCCATGTCAAGCTCAAAGACGGGCTCACGACGGCGGTCCAGGGCGTACCAGTCAGAAGGGTCCGAGGTGGGACTAAAGCGGAGACGGCAGAGGTCGTCGAGGCGGCGGTAGCAGCGAGCAGCGGTGTGACCTGGACGGTCACAAACGGTGCAGCGGCAGAGGCCGGTCTAAAGCTGGTGCTGGCAGGTGGTCACACTGGAGCCGCCACCCGACACCGAGCTGCGTGGGACCCCACCCCGACCACCACCACCAGCGCATCCAGACCACCACGGTGGCAGGGGTCACCACGGTGGCTACTGCTGCTGCTACTGCTCCGAGGCACCAGCCCCGGTCCCCTCGTCTGCACCACCATCCCCGCCCCCACCTCCACCACCCCCACCACCCTTCCCTCCGCCATACCCCCCCTTGGGGCGGCGGCCCCTACCCTGATGCTGCTCTACTGAGGCCGCGGCGGTGGCCTCAGCAGCAGCGGCTGTCTCAGCAACAACGGCAGAAACGTCAGAGTAAGTGCACTAGGAGGGAGCACAGCCCTAGATGATAGGGACCGGCGTAGTATTGCTAGACTGAGCAATAGTGCGTTGGCGGGACCCTATCGGGGACAGGGCGTTGACAAAGGCAGGGAGAGTGAGGTCACATGGGTGTTGAGCAAGGAAGTGGTCGTGTGCAGTGGCTAGGTGGTCAAGCAAGCGTGTGGCAATGAGATAAAGGGTAGCACAGAGCGGCGGCGGGAAGGCAGTGAGCTGTGCCTCAGTGCTAGCGGCGCGGTAGCTAGTCTCTAGTGTGCGGAGGTGCGTGGCAAGGTCAGCGATAGTGGGGAAGGACGCAAGGTTAGGGAACAGTATGGCGAGGATCAGGCAGCCTGCAGAGGCTGAGGTGGGGGTGGAATAACTCGCGATGATAGCATCTAAGTAGTCCTTGGCGTTTGCTACAGCGGTAAAGCGGGGACGCTCGGACAGGGGGAGGGCGTGGTTAATGGCAAGCTGAGCAACAGCGTCGCGTGAGTCCTAGACAGCACAGGCAAGCTCGGCAGTGACAAAAGCCTCACGCTCAGCAAACATGGGGGCATCAGGGAGGGCAGCAGGTGGGGCAGGGCGTGGGAATTTACCGTCGATGTGGACGGCCAGGGAGTGGCCCACCTAGCGCTGCCCGGTCAGCTGGCGGCAGAGGTCAACGAGCCACACCTCAAAGTCAACGGCCCGACCCTCCGCGTCTAGGTGAAGCACACCATCCGCCATCACCCCAGTTGCAGCAGCTGATAGCCGCTGGAGGCAGAGGAGAGCAGTGGGGAGCGGTGGAGTGCGGTGGGGTGCGGTGCTGCGCGGTAACGTGTGGTGGAGAGCGATGGAGACTGCCGGCGGGAGCGTTGGCTCAGAGGGGAGCCAAAGCCGGCAGGTGGGTACAGCAAAGCAGCTCGGCGGCACTGCGGCACGGCTGCCCGTCGGCGCGGCGGCTCGGCGACACGGTGTCACGACGGCACTGCGGCTCGGAGGCGTGGCGGCTCAGCGGAACGAAAGCTGGCAGGCACGAGGCTGGCGAGCGAGGGGCCGGCGAAGGCGGGGCCAGCGGGCGCGGGGCTGGCAAGCGCGGTGCTGGCGGGCGCAGGGCTAGCGAGTGAGGGCCAGTGAGCGCAGGGCCAGCGAGCGAGGGGCTGGCGAGTGCGGACCTGGCGACCGGAGGGCCGACGAGCGACGGGCCAGCAGGTGCAGGGCTGGCACGCGCGAGGCCAGCGAGCGACGGGGCTGGTGAGCGCGGGGCCGGCGAGCGACGGGCCGGCAGGCATGGGGCTGGCGAGCGCGGGGCCAGCGAGCGACGGGGCTGGCAGGCACGGGGCCAGAGAGCCACGTGGCTGGCAGGCACAGGGCTGGCGAGCGCGGGGCCAGTGAGCGACGGGGCTGGCAGGCGCGGGGCTGGCGAGTGCGGGGCCAGCGAGCGACGGGGCTGGCAGGCGCAGGGCTGGCGAGCGCGGAGCCAGCGAGCGATGGGGCCAGCATGCGCGGGGCTGGCGAGCGCGGGGCCAGCGAGCGGCGGTGCTGGCAGACGCGGGGCTGGCGAACGCGGGGCTGGCGAACGCGGGGCCAGTGAGCGACGGGGCTGGCGACGGGCGGCTGGCGCGTATGGGCGGCCAGCAGCTACAGGCGGCTGGCGGCTAGCGGCCAAAGGCGGTGAGCGGCGCGCGGCTAGCAGAGGCGGCTAGCGATGGGCAGCTAGGAGCGGGCAGGCTAGCGACGGGCGGCTAGCGACTAGCGGCTAAGAACGGGCGGCTAGAAACGGGCGGCTAGGACTAGGACTAGGGCAGAAGCGCGGGTGGGCAGGGAGGACCTAACCTAGCGCGTAATACCATCTCAGAGTAATGAATTGCGTATGATTAGGGGATACAAGGGGATATAACCTAAGGTGTTGTACTCTCTATGAGCATGTTGTTAAATTATATTATGTATATATATATATATATAATTGTAGGCTTGATAGGTGTTACTGGAACCTACTGTAAAGGGTACAACTCCCTCCTTGTATCCCTCTCTCTTCTAATCTCAGTCTCTCTCGATATTTTTCCTCCTAGCCTAAAACCTCACGCTACGCTCCTATGCCTAGCTCCTAGTTCCTAGCTATCTCAACATGGTACCAGAGCGGGTCCTTCTGCTCCGGCCTGCGCATCACGCTTTCGCAACACTCGCTCCTCCCTCCTGTTCTTTCCGTGCCGCCGCCACGGCCATGTCATGCTGCACTGATGGCGACGTTGTGCTGCCGTCGCAGCCGCCGCTGTCGTCGTACCGTCGTCGACGCCGCCGCCGCTGTCGCCGCCGTTGCTGCCCCCACCGCTGACGTCGCCGCCTCACACGTCGTGAGGTCGACCGCGGCTGACGAAGCCACCGCTGCTGCAGGGCATGGGGGTGCAAGGGTGTTGGGGGTGCTGCGTGTGTGGTGTGCTTTTGGCTACCAAGCCTAGGGGGTGTGTTAAATTATATATATATATATATATATAATTGTAGTCTTGGTAGGTGTTACAGGAACCTACTGTAGAGGGTACAAATCCCTCCTTGTATCCCTCTCCCTTCTTATCTCAGTCTCTTCTCTCTCGATATTTTTCCTCCTAGTCTTAAACCTCACGCTACGCTCCTATGCCTAGCTCCTAGTTCCTAGCTATCTCAACACATGCACCTATCTAGCCTATAACATATACAATTATATGTTGACACCTGCGTCCTGCAGAACGCGTCATGTCACACGCACTAGCGAAATCATCGTCGGGTCCGTGCTCGAGGCTGTGTGAGGGAGCCAAATGTCCCTTCACCAAAATCACCTCGCCAATTGTGCTAGAAGGCGTGTGAGGGCGCTGATTGGCCCTTCACCAAATCTAGGGGTCGAGCGAGATGCGCTGTTGGCAGGGTCCTCCCGAGCAGACAAAACACGTCTGTTAGTCTTATTTTCAGACACGATTTTTTTCTTTATTCTGATTTTTTAGAAACTTCATTTTGAAGATTCTGAAGGGTTAGAAATTGTTTTTTTATATTTCTTAATTTTCAGAACGTGTACTATGGTTCTTCTGACTTTTTAGAGATATTGAAGCATTCCTTCTGAAAGTGACTCTTTCGGTGGTCCAGCCCCCCCCACCCTCTAACTAGGAGTTTCCCCAGAAATTTTGTGTAGCCCAAGTCTTGCGCAGATGGCCCACCCATGCATCACGTGATGGCACTGTGCTGGCAGCAATACGGCATCTTCGCTGCCACTGTTGAGTCATATCCTGCCCTCGCGGAGAGGACTCAGCGATAGCAAGCTGCGGCTCTTGTTCTCATTGGTGTGCCGTGCACAGCAGCTTAAAGCCACGCAACCATCTGCCCACCGCGCGGTCCTCACTTGTAGGACCATGCACGGCTGGCTGCCTCCGACGTCGGAGGCACATTCCTTGCCGATCCCTCACGAAATGCAGAGGCGGCTCGGGAACGGAAGAATCGGAGCCGATGGTGAGTTCGTCTTCTCCATCCTTCCCTCCCACAGCTCACCATCCCCCCCACTGAAGGCCCCACGGCAGTCTGATTTTCCAGTCGCCGTGCTAGCTCCTCGTAGGTTTGTTTCAGCGAAGTATATTTCCGCCGTGCATCTTGTATCTCGCCATGGGTGCAGGCGCAGCTGCATACAGCGCGGGTACTCATGACGAGGCATACTCAAACGGCCTATATGAAACTAGGCCAGTAACTAGCTAACATCTTTTACGAGGATCGCCGAGTAGAGTAGCCAGAGGACTCCCGCCACTTCCGCCCAGGCGCACGTCCCCGCCTTTGGAAACTGGCCGGGACCTAGATGAGGATGTGGGTGAATCCCTCCCGCACAATAGCCCACCTGCCACTCCACGCTCTCCACCGCGTTCCACCCCATCTCCGGCGCTCTAGCTGCAGGCGAAACCGCGCCACTCCCATCTAGGCACACCTCTGGGCGCTTCACTCAGAGTACAATTCGATTCGCCCGCACTCGAGTTCCGCATGTCCGTCTCTCTGCGTCCCGCCCGTCATCTAATAGCAACCCCACACCTTCAGACACAGCGGCAGCGACTACGATGGCCAACACAAATGCAGAGCCAACCAGCCGAAGCATCCTCGTCCCGGACCCAGACGCTCTGCTCGATACCCTCAAGGCACGGGCTGCAGAGAACTGGACTCGCCTTTCCCCTGGCTTGTCATCGACCAGCGCAGGGATGGGAGGCCATGCATAAAGTGCAGCATCTGCATGGCCCACGCCCCTCCTCAGTGGCAGTACGGGAAGTACGGTGAGGGTGGCGTCGACATTCAGAAGCAGACGATGAGGAAAAACGCCCAGAGTAAGAAACACGAGCGTGCAGATGAGGATCAGTTGCAACTTGAGGCCACGAGGGTGGCACAAAGAAGTATTACTGATTATGAGGAGCCTGAGACTATGACTGCACGCTTGAAGCAGCTTTTTGCCATTGTTTTATGGATATGCCGTGAGGATGCACCCATTGCACTTGTTTCTCTCTTGAGCTTGCTCTTCCAGCTCAAAACGCCGAACATCCCCAAGAAGGCCGCGGGCACCTATCAGTCAGAGTAAGTTCGTATGGTGTTTGCGTAGTGTCTTGACCACTCTCTAACACCATCTTTCGTCCCTTGCAGGTATGGATTTCGGCAACTCACTGAGGCACTGGTCGTCTACCTCCGTGCGCGCCAGATGAAACACATCCTTGCGACGCCATTCGTCGGGATCCAGTTGGATGAGAGCACCGATAGGCGGCGCGGGAAGCACATGATAGTCTACTTGACATTCCTGAAGAGCGGCCGCGTCGTCACCGAATTCTACGCGCATCTGACCGTCGAGAGGTGTGACACTGCATCACTGCTCTCAACACTGCTGACTCACCTCGAGGCAACCAGACTCGACCGGCAGAGGATCTCCGGCATCTCGACTGACGGGGCTTCAGTGATGACGGGAGCATCACGCTGTCTCGTTGTGCAGCTGTGTGAGCGTGTTCCACACCTCGTGTCCTGCCATTGCATTGCACATAGGTGAGCTGTTTATTTGCGTGAGCTTGCATGATCCATTTTTTATGAGTAAAACACTGACTGCTGCATCCTTGCTTTGCTGTGCAGAGAAGCGCTGGCAGCCAAGGATGCTGCCAACAGCAACCCTGACCTGGGTGTGGTCGACAAGATGGTGCGCTTTCTCGCAGACATTCTAGGGCGCAGCATCGTCGTCCATTCCCGCTTCTTCGAGCTTCAGAACTACATCCACCAGACGCAGCTCGAGATGCAGGGCATCAAGGATATACGCTGGCTTTCCCGTGGTGAGGCAATTCTGAGACTCTGTAATGTGCTCCCTGCGGCTATCTTGCTACTGCGAGAGTTCGACACGAAGATGTATGAGGTGGTAACGAGTTTTAAGTTCCATTTCTTGTTGTTTTTCCTCGCTGACCTGCTAACCGTTCTCAACGATCAGAATCGCAAGTTCCAGCGCCGCGCGGTAAGCACTCGACCTCGCAAGTGTTTATTACTACAATGTGTTGGTCTCTAACTCCCACACCCTGTAACGATTGTCTCAGGTCGATGTCACGAAGGTCGGCACCATCGTTGAGAACACATGCAACGTGCTGCGAGCGCACTACATCGACTACGGGGTGTGCTTTGGCGAGGGGAGCATGACGCTGACGGGGTTCCTCGACGACCATGGACCTACCAGCAAACGGATCGTCACGGTGGATGGCTTGGACTCCGAGGGCAACCCTGCAACACACACCTTCCGCCTTCATGAGAAGCAGCTGAAGGATCAAGTCAGCCTCGGAGATCTCGAGTCTTGCATTGCCCTTGCCTCCCTGTTTGCACAGGACGTTATCACCAACCTGGAGACCCGCATGGCGAGCCTCAGCACACTCCGCGGCGCCAAGCTCTTCTTCGCCGACGCCTATCCCGACAACTATGCCCGGCTCGATCATCTCTGCGCCGAGTGGTTCGCATCACTGAAGCAACTCTTCAGTGCTGAATTGTGTAACATGCCAGGTGAGTCTGTTGGCTACTTTGCACAACTAAATGCATGTGTTATGCACTCTAGGACCGAGTTCAATGCTAATGCCTTGTTAATTTTACACGTCTGCATAAACCCTGCCCTAGGCGTCGACTAGGCTGCGGCCGAGCGTGAAGTGAAGCCCTTCTCACGCATGATGTTCAGCCACTACAAGGATCACTCGTTTCTCAACTGCCTCAAGAACGTCTGGCGCTCGTCAGACTGGCTAGCTACCTACCCCAACCTAATCAGGATCTGGGTGGCTGTCACCGTTCTCCCACTCAGCACCGTTGAGTGTGAGCGCGGCTTCAGCCGCCAAAATGCTATCAAGTCCTGGCTTTGCGGTAACCTGTGCGATGCCCGCCTCTCGGACCTGATGTGCGTGTCCCTTCTGCAGTACGATGTCGTTCTGGATGATGTCCTGGAGATGTGACGGAGGCCGAAAAAGCGGCGCCCGGCCAGAGAAGTCAGCATGCCCCTCCCTTCCCGTAAGCGCCGCAAGAAGGCAGCAGCAGCAGCAGCAGCAGAGCCAGAAGAGGACGCCGAAGAGGCAGTGCCGTTTAGGGTCAAGAGGAAGAATGTCAACTTATACATATTATCTATGTAGAACTTATAGGCTAGACTGAGGTATGCTTCTAGTGAGTACAACCAACTAGTATTTGTTCTAGGTTTCCACTTCTAGTTATTATTCGTTTCTACGTTAACATGGTATCACGCTTAGGTTAGGATCCCCCCGCCTACCGCTTCCGCCCGTCGCGCCCCCCCTGGGCCCCGTCGCGCTCGTTAGGCCCCGTCGCGCCCCCCCTGGGCCCCGTCGTGCCCGCTGGGCCCCGTCGCGCCTCCTAGGCCCCGTCGCGCTCCCCCTGGGCCCCGTCGCGCCCGCTGGGCCCCGTCGCGACCCCTAGGCCCTAACGCGCCCCCGCTGGGCCCCGTCGCGCCTCCTAGGCCCCGTCGCGC